CCAGCTTGCACCTCTGGAAGTTCTCTGTCAATATACTGCTGCAACCATTTTTGAATTATCTTCAGTAAGATCTTACTTGCATGTGATATTAATGAGATTGTTCTATAATTTCCACATTTTGTGGGATCATCTTTCTTTGGAATGGGTACAAATAAGGATCTCTTCCAGTCAGTTGGCCAAGTAGCTGTCTTCCAAATCTCTTGGCATAACCGAGTGAGTGCCTCCAGTGCAGCATCTGTTTGTTGAACTGTCTCAAGGTGTATTTTGTCAATTCCTGGAGCTTTGTTCTTTGCCAATTCCTCCATTGCAGCTTTGACTTCCTCCTTCAATACCATTAAATCATATGCCACCTCCTGAAATGGATGATGATTGACCAGTTCTTTGTGGTACAGTGACTCTGTGTATTCCTTCCATCTTCTTTTGATGTTTCCTGCATCATTCAATATTTTGCCTATAGAATGTATCAATATTGCAACTAGAAGATTAAATTTTTTTTTCTTCATTTCTTTCAGCTTGAGAAATGCTGAGAATGTTCTTCCCTTTTGGTTTTCTAACTCTAGGTCTTTGCACATTTCATTATAGTAATTAGCTTTGTCTGCTCGAGCTGCTCTTTGAAATCTTCAGTTCAGCTCTTTTATCTTGTCATTTCTTCCATTTGCTTTAGCAACTCTCTGCTCAAGGGCAAGTTTCAGAGTGTCTTCTGTCACCCATTTTTGTCTTCTTTTCTCATCTTTTTAGTGATCTCTTGCTTTCTTCATGGATAATGTTCTTGATATCTTCCCACAATTCTTCTGGGTTTTGGTCGTTGGTGTGCAAAGTATCAAATCTATTCTTTAGATGATCTCTAAATTCAGGAGGGACATATTCAAGATCATATTTTGGCTCTCTTGGACTTGTTTTAATTGTCTTTGACTTCAAGTTGATCTTGCATATGAGCAGTTGATGGTCTGTTCCACAATCAGCTCCTGGCCTGGTTTTGGCTGAAGATATTGAGCTTGTCCACTTCCTCTTGACACAGATGTAGTCAATCTGATTCCTGTGTGTTCCATCTGGTGAAGTCCATGTGTACAGCTGCCATTTGTGTTGTTGAAAAAAGCTGTTTGCAATGAATAAGTTGTTGGTCTTGCAAAATTCTACCATGCGAGTTCCAGCATTATTTCTGTCACCAAGGCCAAATTTTCCAGCTACCGGTGATTCTTCTTTGTTTCCAACTTTTGCATTCCAGTCATCAGGGATAATTAACACATCCTGATTTGCATGTTCAGTCAATTTCAGACTGCAGAAGTTAATAAAAATCTTCAATTTCCTCATCTTTGGCTTTGGTGGTTGGTGCATAAATTTGAATAATAGTTGTATTAATGGGTCTTCCGTGTAGGCGTATGGATATTATCCTATCACTGACAGCATTGTACTTCAGGACAGATCTTGAAACATTCTTTGAGATGATGAATGCCATGCCATTCTTATTCAAACTTTCATTCCTGGCATAGTAGATCATATGGTTGTCTGATTCAGAATGGCCAAACCCCATCCATTCAGCTCACTAATGCTGAGGATATTAATCTTTCTGCGTTCCATTTCATTTTTGACAACTTCCAATTTTCCTAGATTCATACTTTGTACATTCCATGTTCCGATGATTAATGGATGTGTGCAGCTGTTTCTCCTCAATTTGAGTGCTGCTACATCAGTAATGGAGGTCCCAAAAGCTTTACCTTATCCGTATGAGTAAGGCTGGGTTTATTCTGATGATGCAGCTTTTTCCCAGTTCTATTTTGAGAGTCTTCTAACCTAACCAGACTGTCCATAAAGTTGTGTGGCAATGTATCAGACAGTGTTTCTTTGCTATTCATAAGGTTTTCCCTGGCCAATTCTTTGAGAAGTGGATGGCCTCTTCCTTCTTTCTAGTCTGTCTCAGTCTGTAAGCTGGACTGATAACTGTGCACCATGTGCATCCCGCTGGGTTTGAAACACCAGTGGCTCAGCCTCAAAATTCACATCAGCATGTCACCACGGTAGGACAAACCAACAGACAAGTTTGTCTCCTTGTTGGAAACCTCTCCTACCACCCTTACCTGGATCCCTGCAGCTGACTCCTCACTCTGTCCTGGTCCCAGGTCTATTTCTCTCCTCTCTCCCATTCTCCTGCCCTACCATTTAGGGATGTGACCTGGGTTCCCTCTCCTCACATGGATTCCTGCAGCTGACTCCTAGTCTGTCCCAGTCCCTGGGCCTTTTCCTCTCCTTTCTCCTGCTCTGTCGCCCTGTTACTTTGGGTGTGCCTGGGTTCCCTCTCCTCACCTGGATCCCTGTGGCTTACTCTTCATCTGTCCCGGTCCCTGGGCCTTTTACTCTCCTTTCTCCCGCTTTCCTGCCCTGCCATCTTGGGGCATAGCCTGCGTTCCCTCTCCTCACCTGGATCCCTGCGACTGACTCCTCATCTGTCCCGGTTCCTGGGCCTTTTCATAGTAATGGTTAAAACCTTCAGTAAAGAAAACTCAAAGCCAAGATAAATTATACCAATTATTTAAGGAATATATTTTCTCAATTCCACGCAAAGACAATTGAAGAGGAGGTAAAAGCTCCCAACTAATTTTATAAGACCATCATCTCCCTCATTTCAAAACCAGACAAAGATATTATTAAAAAGGAAAGCTACAAGCCAATATTCTTCATGAACATACATGCAAAAATTCTTAACATGATTAAGCAAATTAACTCCACAAATATGAAGGATAATGCATCATAAATAAATGAGATTGCTTCCAGGAATACAAAGTTAGTTTAACATTTGAAAATCCGTCAGTGAAATCAACATATGTGAAAAACTTATTCTGATGGTGTTCCTCACCTAATATTGAAATTATAAATTATCCATTTATATGTCTGTTTTTTTTTTTCCATCTGATGATAAGCACCTCAGAACCAGGATCCTAGTTTTTATATTTATTGCCATTAATGGTTCAGTAATTATTTTTTGAAGGCTTCTTTTATATTTGCTCGGAGCCCTGGTAAGGAGCTCTGGTGGTGTAGTGGTTAAGGCATTTGACTGCTAACTAGAAAGTTGGTGGTTCAAAGCCATCAACTGTTATGCAGAAGAATGATGAGGCATTCTGCTTCTGTAAGGATTTACAGCCTTGGAAACCCAATGGAGGTTGTTATGCATTGGAATCAACTCAATGATTGTGAGTTTCATTTTGGTTTAGAGGAACCCTGTTGGCACAATGGTTAAGGACTAGGATGCTACCCAAAAGATAGGCAGTTCAAACTCACCAGTGGCTCAGATGGAAAAAAGCTCTGGTGATCTGTCCCCATAAAGCTTAAAGCCTAGGAAACCCTATGAGGCAGTTTTACTCTGTCATATAGGGTCGCCATGAGTCCAAATAGACACAAGGGCACAAAACAAGAAGTTTCTTAGGACTTTTAACTTACTGTTAGGAAATCATCCAGAATCGATTGCTGTTACCACCATCCTATACATAGTGTGACAATTCTTTTTCAATAATAAATTACTTTGCACAGTTATAATTATCCCGATATATAAATTCTATAAATACTCTGTTCTCATTGCCTACATTTAAGAAAATTTATTTTAACCCATTGGAAAATTGATTAATGTCACACAGTTTAGCTTTTTAGCAGAAAATATTTATGGTGGAGGAAGAAATGTCTTTATTTTCTTCTTAATCCAAAACACATACATTTTTGTTTTCAGGTTGGACAAGTCCACTGAAAGTTACTCCTCTAGAACCCCTTCATGAAGGATGCTCAGTAAATCATACTTATGAATTTGATGAAGAGGCAACATGTACAGTAAGATTTTTTTTATTAAATGGTGTTACACAATATTTATCGTTGTGTGTATATATATTAAATATTCTTTAAATCTTTACATCTACTGCATTATTTTTATGCAGTTCTTAGAGTAACAATAGTCAGCCCCAGGGTTACAGGTGAGGAGAGACAACTCAGGGACGCCCAAAGCAGCAGGCGGGAAGAGCAGGAGAAAGGGATTAAAAGCCAGGAAGCCAGAGAGAAGGTCAATCAGCCGAAGGGATTAGGTGAGGAGAGGAAACTCAGGCCCGCCCAAAGCAGCAGGATGGGAAAACAGGAGAAAGGGGATAAAAGCCATGAACCCGGACAGAAGAGCAGTAAGCCCCAGGGATACAGGTGAGGAGAGACAACTCAGGGACACCCAAAGCAGCAGGCCAGAAGAGCAGGAAAAAGGGGATTTAAAAGCCAGGAAGCCAGACAGAGGAACAGTCAGCCACAGGGACGCAGGTTGGGGTGATACGAGAGGTCTCCAACAGCAAGACAAACTTGTCTGTCGGTTTGTCCTACTGTGGTGACATGTAGACGTGAGTTTTGAGGCTGAGCCTCTGGTGTTTAA